AGACAAAGTATATGTGAACTGCTGTATGAAAAGTGAATTTACTCTGTAAATCTTCACCCAAATCCTAATAAAAAAAGAAAAAAAAAAAAAAAAGAGTTGTTCAAGGAGCCCAGAATCTTCCCATTTTGGAAATAATCAGAAAACTTATTTTTAAAATACCACTTTTTCTAAATAGGTAACAATGTTAACATTAACTTTTAAAAGGCACAAGAACATTCAAGATATCAGTTACACCTCTTTTGGGTGTAGGGGTTTTGTTGGTTATCTTAATGCCTATCCCTTTTTTTCTTCCTGTGTATACACACAAATAAAAATTTCTAAGTCCCTTAGCAACATCTAGAAAGCCTCTTATCCTCTTGGCTGCTTTGTGATTGTGTAATAGATTTTTTTGTGGACCTAGGAAACCTTGTCACAGGGCAATTTGCATATATTGCTAGCAAAATAATACATTACAGATAATGTTCACAATTTTGTTTCTTCGATGAATGTATTTCTTACCTCTCAATTTATGCTATTTATTTGTTTGTGTGTGTGTTTGTGACTAGTAAACACAGCAAGTAAAAGACACATCACATGTTCCATTTAAAAATATGAGGTAAAATCCATTCCACTTACCAAACTATTCCCTGAGCCCCAGAGCCAATAGGCTTTAGATTCTGGTAGCGCTTGAGAACTGTGAAGGTTGAGTCTCCCACTTCCACACTGTAGAACTGGTTGTCAACTTTGCTTTTGCTCATGTTGTAATGTTTGGCAATATATGACACATCCACTTGTTTATCAAATCCCTGTCAAAAGAAGAACAACAAAAACATGAGACAAGTGAACAACCAGAATGTTAATGAGATGTGGAGAAGCCTGTTCCTACAATGATTACTAATATTTATTCAACTACTATCACTATATATATTTCACATCAGAAAATTATTTATTTGTCCATATAAGATGCTTCAGAGTAAAAGAACTCAGAAGAAAATGCAAAGGATTTTTTTTTTAATTTTGGAACTTTTCATATTAGAACAACTTTAGATAAAAATTACATAATCTTTTCTGAAGCATTTCATTAAAACCAGTCATTTATGGAGCACAGATCCATTGAACATATATTAGTCCCAGAGAATATGAAAGATTCAGGTAAAAAAAGATATAGGTGAGCCCTGATCATACATTAAAATAGACACATGAAGAAGAACAAAGGAGTGTATCACAACCCTTTCTTAGAAAAATAAAACAAATAAAAAAAACACCTGAGAAACAAAGTATAGTGCTAATTATTTTAATTATCTAATTAAACAGACTTGATTTCATTTGTTCTCATTAACGCCAAAAATCCTCCGATTTAGAGTCCTGAATTATGTATTGAAACATTTTAGTTCAAATTAACATTAAAATGCCACCTCCTTATTCTCTAAAATCTTACCAGTTTAAATATCTCAATTGCTACATCTTTTGTTTATCTGTAAGATATATATATCTATTAATCATATTTAGCAACTGAAGATTCTGTCTTTTAAATTTAAATCATGATTGATGTACAGATACATATATAATTTAAAAATCCATCAGTTATAATTATTTTTATACAGACATCATACATATTGCATTTGTTATATATGTGACATTAAATACTATGAATAACAGTACATATAAGTAACATAGTATATATAAATATGTATGTATGCATGTATATGAACATAGTACATATAAATAGCTAGAAGGGATCTAGCACATGTTGAATGCCTACCCAATAATCATTCCCTTTTCTTGATGACTTTTTCAGGTTTTCAGCACCGATACTCTGTTGACCCCTTTCTAATCCCACAATTGAAAATTGAATACTCTAGACCAATGGTTATCATCAGAGTGGTCATTACCTCTCAAGGGCATTTGGCAGATTTGTGGGTGTGTTTGGGAATGCCACAATGAAAGGAGATACGGCTTGTATTTAGTTAGCTTGTCAAAGAATGCTGGTTGTCTTGCAATGAGTGGGACATTCTTACTGCATTTAATGATTCTCCACACACCTCACCACTTTAGAACTTCTGCCAAGCTTTAATTAGTGAAAAACCTAACTATAATGTTTTGAGCCCTGGATCAAAACTGAAGTGTTTTTGCAAGATTTTAATGTACACCGACTTTTCTAGAAATCTAATTGCCATATAATCTGAAAAAAGAGTTAAACCTGCATGGACTTTGAACCTCTGGGATAGGCCTAACACCATTTTCCTTGGAAGTTTCTGACACTCTTATTCTAAATAAAAATTCAAAATAGAAATAAAGTCCAATTTGCTCCTATATGTTCTTGGGAAGAGATCTATGCTTCGTCACTGATGTCAATGAGGAGAATATAGTAGGGAACATATGACATGGATGGGAAAACCCCATGAATCCAGTTCAAGGATCTCGAGCACCAGACAGCTTAGATAGATCTGAGAGCAGAATGCACACAACAGGCATCAGCCCATATTACGTTCCTCAATGGTGGCATCAATTCAATATAAAGGTACATAACAGCAACAACAACAATGTGAACTTTGGTGGTGTAGTGCCTAAGGCATTTGACTGCTAACCAGATGGCTGGCAGTTCAAACCCCCCAGCCACTCCCTGGAAGGAAGGTTGAGCAATCTACTTCCATAGTGATACCACCTTGGAAACCCAAGGAGTGGTCGCTATGAGTCTGATCCGATTCCACAGCAGTGTATTGCATTTTTGTTGTTTATTATTAGCCCCCAAGAATAAAGTGACCTACAATTAGGAAGAATCCCTGGGTGTTACAACCAGTGCACTCTAACTGAAAGGTTGGAGGTTTAAGCCTACACAGACACACATCAGGTGAAAGGCTTGGCAATCTAATTCTAAAACACCATCCATTAAAAATCCTATAGAGCACAGTTCTACTTTGACACACAAAAGGAGCTACCATGAATCAGAATCAACTCAACAGCAAATAATTTTGTTTTGTTTATTTTCATAGATTAAAAATCTAGTTTGTTTAGACAGAAGAATTAAATTTCAGGTAAATTTTGAATGCAAAAACTAAAACCAAAACCAAACTCATTGCCATCGAGTTGATTGAGACTCATAGCAACCCTTCCTTAGGTTTCCAAGGCGGTATCTCTAAGGATTAGACTGCCCAACCTTCCTTCTGAGGAGTGGCTGGTTAGCAGTCAAATGCCTTACGGACATCACCAGAGGTCCCATTTACAAGAGGTCCAAATTCAAGGAGGCAATCTGTGAAGTATGGAACAAGAAATTAAACTAGACTAAGGTTGGGCAGGGAGCTCTGGTAGCATAGTGGCTAAGACACTTGCCTGCTATCCAGACGGCTGGTGGTTCAAACCCACCAGCCACTCCTCGGAAGGAAGGTTGGGCAATCCTACTTCCGTAGTGATACTGCCTCAGAAACCCAAGGAGGGGTCACTGTGAGTCGAAATCAACTCCACGGCAGTGAGATGTACAAAGAGCTCTAGTGGTGTAGTGCCTAAAGTATTTGAATGCTAACAGAAGGCTGGAAGTTCAAGCACACCAGCCTCTCCTTGGAAGCTAGGTCAGGCAATCTATTTTCATAGTGATACCACCTTGGAAACCCAAGGAGGGGTAGCTATGAGTCGAATCCGACTCGACGGCAGCAAGGTTGGTTTTTGTTTTTTATTTGAACCACAGTTATCAGCAACTACTCTCCACACCATGATCTCTTTCTACTTTGGACTTTTCTGGCATATGAGCAGACAGCCCCAGTAAAGTCTTGCTTTTTCTCCTGGCCAGGAAAGGTTAAAAAGTAACTGGAGCTAGCATAACAAATTACTTTGCTTGCAAAGGTTAATTGGGATATAGGAAATATCTGACTTGTCCTTTGGCATGTCCTGTTCCATCCCATGTCCTTTAATATTGGAGCTCTGGTGGCATAGTGCTTAAGGCATTTTGACTGCTAACCAGAAGGTTGGTGGTTCAAACCCACCAGCCACTCTGCAGAAGGAAGACTGGGCAATCTACTTCCGTAAAGAGTTACCACCTCAGAAACCCAAAGCAGGTCACTATGAGTCAGGATCGACTCAATAGCAGTGAATTTGGTTTACTTTTTTGGTTTGAAAACCCAATAAATCCTTAGCACACACTAGCCTCGTCAAATCTAGATAACTCACTTTCCTTCCTCCATTTATTCTCTTCACTTTTGAAATGTAGCTTATCATGCCTGCAGTGCAAGCATGCACTAGTCATTTGGTATAACCTTATGTTCCAGATGCTTTATCTTGACACTGCCTTACTCCTTCAGACCTGGCTGTGGCTTTTCTAGTTATGGTCTCAATCTTCATGTGAAACCTGAATCCACCATGTTGACCCACTTTGGCCACCATTTCAGTCTATATACAATTCATGACACTTCCCTTTCAGGCTTGCTCAAAGAGATATACTCTTCATTTTATATTTAATCCAATAAACTCTGATGTTATACCTATTATGTACCAGATATTGGTTTTGGCATTGGAGATAACTGGGAAGAAATAGATCTGTATGGAATGGAGGCAGTCAAGTAACTGAGTAGTTAAAATACAAATGATATCTTCTACAGAAGGAGACAGAAAGGGTTTGGGGAACAAACAGTAGCAACTAACTCATTGCATTCATTCATTGTTATTAATTCATTCAAATACTATATATAAAGACATTACTGAGTGATGCAAATGTTTAAAACATTTGACTGCTAACCTGAAGGTTGAAGGTTCAGGTTTACCCAGAAACTTCTTGGAAGAAAGGCCTAATGATATTCCAAAAAAATCAGTCACTAAAAACCCTACTGAGCACAGTTTTACCTTACATACATAGAGTTGCCATGAATTAGGTCTCTCATGAGTTGGGATTGCCATGAGTTGGAAACAACTCAATGTAAATTGAATTTTGTTTTTGTTTTTGACTATGTATAAAGTTCTAGTGGTGCAGTGGTTAAAGCATTCAGCTGATAATCAGAAGAGCGAAGGTTCAAACCTAACAGCCACTCTGTGGGAGAGAGATGTGATAGTCTGTTTCTGTAAAAATTTACAGACTTGGAAACCCTGTGGACAGTTTTGTTCTGTCCTATGGTGTTGTTATGAACCCAGAATTGACTCAGTGGCAGTGGGTTTGGTATGGTTTTTGGTAAGGGCCAAAAAATGGGTATAAAGTTGGAAATGTATGTGGGCCTATTTGATCTGTATGTTTCCCACCTAATAATATCAGCTGAACTCCCTTCTCACTGGTTGTCCAATGAGAGAGGGCATCTGAACCACCTGGGAAGCACAATGCTCCTGAGATGCTGACTCATGCCCCAGCATAGGTTCTATATTATTAGGCAATGAAGATGATTATGATGAGCAACTCTCAGTATCTGACTTTTGAAAGACTGCATTACAGCAATCATTTTCAAAACATGGTCCCTGGGGCATCAATACCATCATCACCTGGAAATTTCTTAGAAACTTACTAGGCAAATGCTGGGAGTCCTCTCAATACCTATTGAATCAGGAACTCTGGGGTAGGGGGCCAGAAATTATTTTTAAGGATTCAAAATGGAGTCTTGCCAGTGAGCAGCACACTTTTTTCCTCTGACAAGTAAGGACTTTGAAAACTAGGTACAACAGTTTGAATTAGGAACTTTGGTGCTCTAACAGCTCACTGAATCAGAGTGCACCAAACACAGACGAGCAGAATTAGAGGAAAGGCACAGGGAGATTATTTAGGAAAAAGCTACTGGTGGAGGATGGATGGGCATCTGAAAGAGGCCATTGGAAACTTTCCTGGGGCAGTCACTGT